GACACAGCGAGAGAGGGAACACAAGCAGGGGGAGTGGGAGAGGGAGAAGCAGGCTTCCCGCTGAGCAGGGAGCCCGACGTGGGGCTCGATCCCAGGATCCTGGGATCATGACCTGAGCTGAAGGCAGACGCTCAACGACTGAGCCACCCAGGTGCCCCTGAAACATTAGCTCTTATGGTATTGGCTTACAAAATAGCTGAGAGAGATCCCTGTCCTCCAGGAGCTCCAAGTCCATTAGATCCCCTGCTTACTAACTTTGGGTGTCATTGGTGTGCAGAGGTGTCATTGGACTGCTGAACCTTGATTTCTTCATCTGTATAATGGATCTAATAAGCCCTATCTCTCATTATAATTTTGAGAAGTACATAGCACAGAGTAGACGCTCTAAGTGTTTGTCATTCCTTTGGTTGAAAGGCATGAAGAGCGAAGGATGCAGGCTAGGTGCCTGCTGACTGGATGGGGGCCAGAAAATGAGAGTTAGGGTCTGGGGAGAAGAGACAAGTTAGAATGCCTCATAGAAGAGAGGTTTGAGCACCAGTGCCTGGGCTGAGGAGGGTGATTCAGAAGTGGGCGTGGATCTCAGTGGGGCCTGGTTTGGGAAGGGAGCTCAGCCTCTGGGTTGGGAGAGAGTTGGATTAGTGTGCAGGGTGGGGTGGCAGGTAGGATGGCTGAGGGGGACTGGGCCTGCTGTAATTGCTCTAAGCCCTTCTGCATCCTGCTCTTCTTCTCGCAGGTTCATCTATGAACTTGAGCACTTCAATGGTGTGGCTGAGCTGCTGGAGATCTTAGGAAGGTGACTCTCTGGGCCTTGGCTGGAGCATCAGGATTCTGGGAGCAAAGACTGAGGCCCAGTCATCTGAGCCCTCCTCCTCTCTTCTGCCCCCTCCTCAGCATCATCAATGGCTTTGCACTGCCCCTGAAGACCGAGCACAAGCAGTTCCTGGTCCGGGTCCTGATTCCCCTACACTCTGTCAAGTCACTGTCTGTTTTTCATGCCCAGGTAAGGCCCAGGCCTGGCCCTGCCGCAGCAGAGAGATGCCGACAGAGTCAGGGCAGCCGTGGGGTCAGCCCGACACTCTGCTACAGCCACACTAAGTCATGAACTCATGGGATCCTCCCTCACCTTCTTTTTCTTTGCTAATTCTATTCCATCCACCTTAGAGAATTTCCGCGACACTTTAAGGCTGATCTCAGACATCAGCTTTGTGAAGCCTTCCCAGCCTTTTCCCTCCCTACCTGCCCTAGGCAGGATTAAACTCTTCTCTTTCCATATTCCCATAGATTGTGATGTAGATTTCAATTATGGAAACTTTTGTGAAATTTATAAGGGCTAGTTTGCTGCATGTTCCCCCTGGGGGAACGTGGTTGTGTCCCTGCACACAGAGCATGGTGCCTGGCACATCCTAGGTAGTCAGTCAGTAAATGTTTGGTGAATGAGAGAGGAGACACAGTGAGGGAGCAAACATCTGGTGTCCTGTCATGGTCCCCTCCTGACCCCAGTCTTCTTTCTCTCGCCCAACCCCCACCCCCCTCAGCTGGCATACTGTGTGGTGCAGTTCCTGGAGAAGGACGCCACCTTGACAGAGCACGTGAGTACCTTGGTGGGGGAAAGGCAGGCCTCACCCCTGCAGGTCTGACTCCTTTCTGCCTCAACTCCCACAGGTGATCCGGGGGCTGCTGAAATACTGGCCAAAGACCTGTACACAGAAGGAGGTATGAGGAAGGGCTCTGGTGTCCCCCAGAGGGGGGTCAGGAGGGCTCTGGTTCCGGAGGGCAGCCAAATGTGTTGGGGGGGGAGATGGGAACTGCTGTCTCCCGTGTCCCTACCCCCAGGTGATGTTTCTGGGGGAGATGGAAGAGATTCTTGATGTCATTGAGCCCTCCCAGTTTGTGAAGATCCAGGAGCCGCTCTTCAAGCAGGTGGCCCGCTGTGTGTCCAGCCCCCATTTCCAGGTATGGGGTGGGAACAGGTAGGGGTGGGAGCCAGGGTATGGACTAGGAGGGCTGACCAGTTGACCTAACACAGCTCCCTCCACCCTCAGTTTCACCTCTGGACCCACCAGGGTCCGATAATGGGGAGATGCTGGACTTAAGGTCAGGAGACCTAGGGTCAGGCTTCAGATATGCTCCCCACGGGCTAAAGGGCCCTGCGCAATCACTTTGCCACTCGAATCTGATGCACCTTCCTCATCTGTGAAGTGGACCACAGTGATCTCTTCACAAGGTGGTGATGAGGACTAAAGAGAGTGTAGTGCCAACCTGTTGGGTAAACTGGAGTGTGCTCCAGAATGGGTTCTTATCCCCGCTCCCCTCTTCTTTGTGGCTTTTGATTCCATTAGTCCCACTCCAGTGCCCAGCCAGGCGTTTCCACTTCCTCAGGCTGGCTGTAGTTGCTATTTTCCTGCACATGTGCGCAGACTTTCGCCCATTCATATGTGCCTTAACCTGGTGAAAGTCAAGTCTTCCTCACAGGGACTCTGGCATTTAAGTTTATTAAATACCTCATTTGATTCTTACAACAGCCCTGGGGAGATAGCTGTTATTAGCTCCATTTTACAGTTGAGAAGACTGAGGCTGAGAGGTTAAATGCCTCACCCTAGGACATCTGTCTAGTGTGTAGTGGAACTAGGATTCAACCCTGAGCGTTGGACTCCAAATCAGTGCTCTTTTTCTCTTCACTACATTGCCTCCTCTTTGGGTCAGATGAGCCCTGAGGATTGGGTACACGTGTGGAGGACAGGGCTCCCTGGGTTTTGGGGGTGGGGGTGGATACCAGGCCTTGCACCTCCAAGGGAACCCACCACCAGGCACTCACTCTGCCACCTTGCTGCCCCAGGTTGCAGAGCGGGCTCTGTATTTCTGGAACAATGAGTATATCCTGAGCCTCATCGAGGACAACTGCCACACTGTGCTGCCTGCTGTGTTTGGGACCCTCTACCAAGTCTCTAAGGAACACTGGAATCAGTGAGTGCCTAGGCCTTGACCTAACCCACAGAGGCTGGGTCCAGGGCCGGCCAGTCCAGACTTGAGAGGGTCAGGGATGGGAAAAGGGGCAGGTTGAGAGCAGTGCTTGTGGTGTTCAGAGCTACATGTGTGTTTGGGGAACAGGGGTAGGCAGAGTGCTAGGGAGGGAGATGGCACCAAACAAAGCTGTTCCCATTTCCTCACCCCTCCCCGGACCCTGTCAAGAACCATCGTATCTCTGATCTACAACGTGCTCAAGACGTTCATGGAGATGAATGGAAAGCTGTTTGATGAGCTCACAGCCTCCTACAAGCTAGAAAAGCAGCAGTGAGTGTTGGCCTGGGCATAGGGGGAGAGGGGAAAAAGCAGGATGGAGCTGGCTCCTTGTGGTTGGAAGGAGCCTAGGAGGACAGCCCCACATCCTATGTGATCAGATGTTTAGTCTCTCCCTGTGTTCCTGCTGGACCATCCATGCCCCGCTCCCCACTGCATCCTCCAGTCATGTTCCCAAGTCTTCTTCCAGGTATGGAGCTTCCTCCTCTTCAGCTCCATGACCACAGGCCAGGGCTGGTTTCCCAGTGCTCTTTTCCTTAAGTGGAAGGTCCCATAAAGTCCATTTACAGTTGGGTGGTGGTGAGCGAAGCTGAATGGTAGGTGGGCCCGGATAGGGGAGCTGCCTCACCCTCTCTCCCCAGGGAGCAGCAGAAGGCCCGGGAGCGTCAGGAGCTATGGCAAGGCCTGGAGGAGCTGCGGCTACGCCGGTTACAGGGGACCCAAGGGGCCAAAGAGGCACCCCTCCAACGGCTTACACCCCAGGTGGCCACTAGTGGGGGTCAGAGCTAGAGATCCCCTAGAAGGGGAGGAGCTAAATCCAGAGCTATCAGTCCCTCCATCCCCTCTCCTACCCAGGGGCCCAGAGAGACACACCTACACCTGGCCTTGCCAGAGCAGGCTTGGAGGGCTCCCTGCCTGGCCCAGCATGGGCAGCTTTCACTGTGGGGAGAGGAGGAGAGGAGATGGTGGTCCTGGCAACAGAACTCTCAGGCCTTTGTGGCAGGACTTGACCAGGGCAGGCTTGACCAGGAAGCTGCCACTGGGGACTGCACCTGCCCCGCAAAGCTGGGCTCCAGACTGCAGGCCGGTTCCCCCCCCTGCTCCTGCCTAGAGCAAGGGGACTCAGCCCCTCGCCTGCCCCGCCTCGTGCCAGCACGGGGTCCTTCCTCACCCTACCATGGGATCCATGGTCTATTTATTCTCCCCAGCTCACCCCAACACATGCCCCTGGGGCATCTTCTTTCCCTCCCCTCCCACACCCTGTACTTCCTTGTCCCCTTTTTATTTATTGGGCAGGGGGAGGGGTGAGGGCACAGGCAGAAGAGATTCCCCGTGTCCTAGGGTGGGGGGGTGTCACAGTTACCATGGTCTGTCCCCCTTCCCCTGGCTGGGGGTAGACTTTAAATAAAGAGAGAAACTTGAGAACTGCTTGCTTTATTTAGGGGTAGGGACAAAGAGGGGAGTGAAATGATGACAGACTGGTTGGGAGGCCAGGCTGAGGCAGGGGAGAGGCAGAAACTGGCCTCTTCTCAGGAGTGACAATCACAGAATCTTAAGAGAGCCGGATACATGGGCTATACTCCACCTCAAACCCTCTGACCAAGGTGGAGGAGGAGGGGAGAGGACGGGCTAGTAGCGCGACAGGCGACACATGTCACACTGGCAGGCCCTGGCCGTGAAGATCTCCAGCTCCTCCCTCCGGTCCCCCCCACACTGCAGCTGCACCTTCACCTGCAGGAGAGGGGGACCCGTGTTCCATTCACCTTCCTTGGGCCATCTTAGATCTCCATCTCCCCTGTCTCTCCCCAACCCCAAAGAGCCACCCCTGGGCTGGGCGGTCTCACCTTCTTCAGGCCACTGATGGTACAGCACTGAGAGACGGAGGTCACATTATGTCGATAGCCACTGGCCACCAGCACGGAGTACCGGGAAGGGAAGGCGCTAGACTCACAGTGGCCCACACAGGCCTGTGCCACATGGGAGCCCTGGCAGGTGCCTTGGCGGTCACTTCGCACTGTCACATTGAAGGCTAGAAGGAGACAGGCGAGTGGGAGACAGCGCCTCTGCAAAGCCTCACCTAGCTCCTGTCGCCAGAACCTCAGTGTGGGTCCATTGAGGGTGCTGCCTGCCCTTCGGTCCCGTCCATTAGCGCTCAGCTCCCACCCAGCTCTCTGCTCCCAGGGTTACTCACGGTGCAAGTGGCAGCCTGGGATGGCCGCCTGGCGACCCCAACCTTCCGTGACCGCCAGGACCAGCAGGCAGAGGAGCAGCGTTTGGGGGGATGCCATGGGGATCTGAAACACAGTGGGTAGCTCGCTGTCCCTAGATAAGTGTGCAGGTGGGAGGGGCAGTTCTTTACTGTGTGCCTCCTGGTGAATGAGCCAGGGTGAGGCTGCTCTTTCTGACTGGGGTGAGGCAAGCCTGTGAGCCGTGCTGTCTTTGGGTGCATGGTGTGTCTGCTTGTGTGTCTCATGATGGGTGTGAGTGTGAGCAGCTGTCAGCCCACGGCAGTGATTCTCCCCTGGAATCTCCTGCCACCTGGAGCACAAACATCTGCCCCCCTCCATCTGCTCCATCTACAGGCCCCAGGCCCTCCCCAGGCTCCTCCTGCCTCAAGCGGCTTACCACTTCCAAGGCCCAGGAACTGAGTGGCTTGCGGAATGGGTTCCTCAGGTCTCCCGCTCCTCTCCAGACAGTGCCGGCTCTCCGGATTTTTATTTGCCAACGTTCTGGAGCCACGCCCTCTTGGGGATCAGCTTACAGGCCTGCCTCCCGGGCAGAGGCCTCAGAGCAATCCCACCTGGGAGATCCAACTCTTCTCTGAGGTGTAGTCCTCAGAGTGGCTTCTGCTGCTTTCGGCCGCCTGAGGTCCCGGGCTGGGGGCAGTGAGATATGGAAAAAAGCCCAGGAGCTGCTGGAGTGGGCGGCTTGTGTGCAGTTGGGGAGAGAGGGATCAAGACTGGGCTGAGTTGTGGCCGCCAGGGTTCTCTTCTCTGCTGTGTGACCTTGGGCAAGACACTCCCCTGTTCAGGGCCTTGCCACCCCAACCCTAAAGCTACTAAACTCATTCTTGCTTGTCCCTTATCCACTGCACAGGAAAAGGGTTGGGAGGATATTTTTATGGACAAAGGAACTGACACCAGTAAGGGCCTCCTGAGATATGCTGGGTGGCAGAGTTGGGGAGAATGGGGGGTTCTAAGTCCATTTCAGAGCTTCATTTTCACTCATCATCCTGGGGGTCAGCCACAGAGTGCGGCTCCCCTTAGTCCCTGGAATAACAGGGACCTGACTCCTGGAACAGTCTGAAGCTGTCAACACCAGCAAATCCCATCTTTTAGTCCAGCTCTGGCTCAGGTTTTACAGGTAAAGCAGCTAAGGCTTAGAAAAGGAAAACTACTAAAGGTCACACTGTTAACGTCAGGCCAAATCTGCTCTCCATACGTGGTGCCAAATTACACTTGGGGCAAGAATGTGGCAAATTGGGGAAGATCCCTAGTTAGCAGTAGCTGCATGGGCTAGGGCAGGCCAGAGATCAGAAAGAAGCCTATGGTGATATGGCCCCCCACATCCCAGGGCCACTGCCTCACTGATTTGTTCAGAAGGGCAGAGCCAGCCACACACACCACCCACCCTTCGTTGTTCAGATGAGAGAATCCGAACCAGAGAGGAAAGTGACTTGCCAAGGCCTCACTGTAAGCTAGTCAGAGTCAGAATGGCACTCAGATCTCTAAATTCTGGAGTTGTGCCTTTCAGCAGCTTTGTAAAACAGGCCATATTTGGGACAGTAGGACAAAGGCTATAAACACAACTTGTCCTTAATCTTCCAGTTCCCCTTCAGCCCTTCTCCCCTCAGGACCTGGGCCTGTCTACAGCAGCCATGTCTTCTCCCCATCCAGGGCAAGTCAGCCAAACAAGGGGACCCCAAGGGACCTCAGCATTCCAACCCCATTTCTGCCATTCATCACAGAAACCTTCCAGCATCTGACAGACCATCAGCTCTGTTTAAAGACTAGAAGTGACAAGGACTCATCTCACAAGGTGGTCCATTCTAATATAACAGTTAGATTCCTTTGTTCTGAGCTAAATTGAGTTTCCCTATATTCCCATCTATTTGATCTGTGGCCACACAACGCAAGTCTAACCTGTCTGTCCCAGATCAGCCCTTGGGTTACGTGAAGTCAGAGCTTGGGTGCCCTGGCCTTCTCCAGGGGCCCTAACCTGGGCTGACTTGCAGTTAATCTGAGAAGCTAAACTGCATTACTGTCAAAAGCCAGAGGGATAGGTGAGTGGAAAGCATTTATCTACTGAGGGTGCACTTTGGGGCCAAACTGGGTGAATTTGGGATAGATGATATCTTGAGGGTCAGCTGGGCTCAGGAAAGTGAGTCTTATAAGACCCCATTCTCTAAGCCCTGCCAGGGAGGCTAAGGCTAAGGTTTGCAGTCAGCTACAGACCCCACCCACCCAAAGCATCCCACCAACAATTAACTAGGTAGACCCAGGGGAGAGGTTTCAGCCATCGCTTCCCTGTATCTTCAGGGAAGAGTTTGCTGTCTATTTCATGAAATTCAGTCAATAACTCTTCATAAATAATTTATTTTCATTAGGATCCTAAGTGCTGGAGATGAAAGACCTAAACTGGCCCTCAGAGCAGCACAGTTCTTAGACTAGAACATTTTAGGAAGTTCTTTTCTTGGTGTTTTAAATTGAAAAAAAAAAAAAAAAATCCATTGTAAAGGGGCAAAGGATAGGACAAACCCACAAGAGGACTCAGGGAGTTTAGGGCCCGCATTCCCCATGACTGAAATGTCATACACAGAGGACGGAATGCGAAGAGTCACTGCGAGAAGACACTCTTCCCACTGCTGCATCTGGAAGCTCACTGGCTGCTCTTTCTGAAGAAATAGCGAAAGGGGAAGAGAGAGCTGTGGGAAAGAGAGCAGAATGGGTTGAGATTCTAGAGGTCCCTCCCTTCTCCCAGTCCCATTAGGGGCATTAACGAGGGCATTTTTGCTTTGGGGAACCACTGTATGGATTCAACTCTGGAGCAGCATTTGAAAAGGTACCCAAAAGCTAATTTGGCTTTATACTCAGGAGTGGGGCATGAAGCAGGAGAATGGGGCAGCTGAGCTCTAGAGAGAGAAAGGGATTTGCTAACAGTCTTCTGCAAAAAAGACTCAAGATTCAGAGGGGAGAATGGAAATATTTTGGTAACCGAAGAATCTGAATGGCCCAACAATAAGAATAGTCTCTGTCCAAGGAGCATTTATGGAATGAGGTCCAATGCTAGGCACATTGGGGTGGGTTGTGTAAAAATGAACAAGACACAGTCTTTATTAAATCCAGTTAGGGCCCTTGTGCTGAGTCTCATTTCCATCATGTATCCTGGGGAAAATAGAGATTATGCAGGTAATCTGATTTCTTTTCTAATTTCCCTGAGAGACTCACTGAGGCAGACTCTGGTGCTAGACTGCCCTGAGTCTCAGTGTGATGGTAAGAGAGACACCTGTCCTACCTTAGAAACCCAAAGAAGCCATTGGTTCCCAGCTCTGGGGGTCCTTTAGGTGGAGATGGGTTGTTTTGCTGCAGTGGGGGGATAATCTGCCCTGCTAGGCTGTCCTCCCACTTAGAATCTGCAAGGAAAACAGTCAGGGAAAAAATGTTAGTCCGTGGGCTACTTTCATGTGACATCCAGTGTGGACCAAGGGCAGCCTCACACAAAGATTCGTTTGAAGCCAGGTGACTTGTTTGTTCTGACCCTCCTAATTTCATCTCAGGAGATGTTATTCTGACCTTGGAGTATTTTTCGCTGGGTCCCTGAGATTTTTACACTGCTCAAGTCCTAGCCACCCACCACAGATTGTTGTCTTCTCACGGAATGATGACTTGTTGAAGAACTCATATGCTTACATCCTAGCATCTGCGACAACTACAGTCCTTACCGAATCCTTCTGCTAGACAACACCTTCACATGCATTCCCAGCCCTTGCTGAGCATCCACTGCACCTTCAATATTAATACTAATGCCCCGAAGGGAAGAGGAGGAAAGACAGCTTCCTAAAGATTATTCTCCAACAAGACAAAAAAGTGAAACACATCCCTCCCAACTTTTCTGCAAAACTTATCACCCCACATGGAAATGTTTTCAAATAGTGGGAGAATCATTTTCACCATCAGAAGCACAGGAAGTACATGCATTGTTTCCCTTCACTTCTCTTGCAGGTTGGGGGAGCTTTTATTATTCAAGGGCAGGTCTCCAGACCGAAGGATGGCCAACAGGCATCTCCATGGGAGCAAGACACATCACCCAGCCAGTGTGCCCACACTCAGAACTCTATGCTGCTCTGCTCATCAGAGAACTAAAGAGGACAGGATTATTATTAAAAGAGAATAAATTTCCCAGAACCTACCCTGTTCCTGGGTATCAGTGATATTAAATGTTGGGGTCTCCTGCCATTCCTGGTGGGTTTTTCTTTCTCTGTTCTGATAAAAAGAGGACCAAGAAAAGTTTTAAACTTTACTCCTATAGAGCTTGGTGGTCTGAATGCTATTTGTTGATTGGTGGTCAGTCAATGAAGACTTCATAGGGGAAGTGCTATTTGAATGGGAACTTGATGGACGAGTGGGATTTTGTCATAATGAGGGTGAGGAGATGGTCAGAGAGAGTAGGGCATTTAGATAGGGACATGATGTACAAAGGCACAGTACATTAACAAGTAAATGTGATGAGCGTGGCTAGAGCTGGGGCAGTGTAAACATAACTATGGCCTAAGCAACCAGCACACTACAACTCAATCGATTTTCTCCCTGGGCTACTCCTTTATATTCTTTCGTACTTTGAAGGGGACATCCTATAACCTGGTTCCAAGCCCACAACATTTCCAGTTGACACCCTGATATTCAGAATCATGGTTCATATGTTTTCTTTGGAATTCTCTGCCAACTGGCCACTCCCCTCACCTGGAAAGAACCTGGGGGCCTGACTACCTAGCGGTGCTGAGAAGTTCCTTGAGCCGTTGTGCTGGTGAAGAATTCTACAGCAAGGGACTACAGACTGTCAAGGTGGGTCAGGAGGCAGAGACATGATAAGCCTCTGGGAAAGTTAGGATATAGCCCCCATCCGAAGCATAAGCTGTATTTCTTTTTTTTTAAGATTTTATTTATTTTTTTTGAGAGAGATAGTGAGTGAGTGAGAGAGAGCACAAGCCAGGAAGAGAGGCAGAGGGAGAAGCAGACTCCCCGCTGAGCAGGGAGCCCAATGTGGGGCTTGATCTCCAGACCCTGAGATCATGACCTGAGCCAAAGGCAGACACTTAACTGACTGGGCCACCCAGGCACCCTAAGCTGTATTTTTAAGAGAAACTTTTCCACAAAACTGCAAATTCCAGAACACATAGGCTGCTACCTAAGTAATATTCCTGTAAACATGAAAGGGAACTCTGGGGAGGAAGGAAACCATCTCTTACCTCTTCTAAGTCTCCAAGTACACTAGCTTACAGGGGTACAGCTCTGATTTGTAGCTTGAGGAAATGATTCTTACAAATTTAATGAAACTATGGTTTGGAGCTTAAATTCTGCTGCACTGGCCCTAATGAAACCACCTACATAGGTTGGCAGTGGGGAACAGAAGGGCAGAGGCCCTGGGGCAAAGGTAAAGATCTCCCAACCAGGGGAGATTCCCCTCATGAGACAGTCTAGCATTTGTGCTCTCCTGAAAACTTGACAGATGTCTTTTTAGGCAAATGTCGTAAGAAAGGAAAAACACAGCCTGAAATAAGACTGAGAGTACCATCTGGGACATCCAACAAGACATAATGCACTTACAACCCAACACAAGGTTGTTCTCTGTATGTTCAGGGCCAGATCTGCTTAGAAGTACAGTTCAAGCAGAGGTGGCAAAAAAACAAAAACAAAAAAACTACCTACATGATAATCTGTTTTACTTCTGAACCATTCATTGGCTCTCTCCCACTTTTTATCCTTACAAAGTCTGGATCTCTAGTCTGGGACCTGAAGTAATAAAGGGAATGGGTCGGCCTTTCCTTCCCATTCTCCCCAAAACACCTCTTATGAAACAGAGACCTTATTCAGATATGTGTCATGTTCTTCTAAGCTTTCCCCATACCAGATCCCAGTGGTGTCATGTTCAGACATGACAGTCCACACTGATGTGACCCGACACGCTGAGTTCCCCAAAGGGGAGAGAAAATATTAAGCATTGGACCATAGGAGCAAATTCAATTTTTCCAGCTCAAGTGACCTACACTGAGAGTCACTGTGATCAGTCTAATTTAGGAGAAATCCTCTCTCTGGGAACAGGGTCTACAGTGGAGACCGTCATTGGGCTTTGAGTCAAAATCAATAAACATGTTCCTTTTGGGTTTTTTTCCTTCTCATTTTTTTCTAAACCCAGTATCAGGCTGAAAAGGTAATTATGTTGAGTAAGAAACTGTGGGTACTGTTCTTGAGGGAGATGATGTGTCAAACTAAGAATAGGAAGGTATGAAGGATAGAGAGTGAGAGAAATGTTCTTTTAATAGTAATTATCTTGGTTGTATAAAGCGTCTTTGTTCTTCAGATCTTCATGTACTCCTCCTGTACTTTCTCATTTCTTTTTCTTCCTTCTTGAAAGGATGGGAGTATAGAAGAGGGCAATCATCTGCCTATAATCACTCAGTGGGCCAGATGGCTTTGCACAACGGGTCCTGTGCCCTGCCCCTACCCACAGAGGCAGAGGTCCCAGTCCCTAAGGGTTCCTTCTTCCCCCAACTAAACAATAAGTTACGGAAAGAAACCAGGTGTTACGTGTTTGCATGCACCCCAGCAACTAACACAATACCTTGCAAACAGGAGGCAGAATAATCATTTAGAAATGTAAATCACTTTACTTTTCTACTTTAAAAATGTTTTAGGGAAATCCTGTGATCTTGAAAGTGGCATTAAGCCCTTCATGATCTAGCCTGTGCTGACCTCTTCAGTAACATTTCTTAGCACTACTTTAACTAAGCTCCAGGTACACTGACTTGCAGTCACCAAATGCACTGTACTCTCTCCTCTTGGCCTTAGTTCTTTGAGCTACTCTGGGAACCCTCCCTCACATCCACCTAATTTGGGTGAGGTTCCTTTGTTCCCTGTACTTCCTTTATTCCTGTATGTAGCACATCTATCAATAATTGTCTGCCTAGGGGCGCCTGGGTGGCTCAGTTGGTTAAGCAACTGCCTTCGGCTCAAGTCATGATTCTGGAGTCCTGGGATCGAGTCCCACATCGGGCTCCCTGCTCAGCGGGGGGTCTGCTTCTCCCTCTGACCCTTCCCCTCTCATGCTCTCTGTCTCCCATTCTCTCTCTCAGATAAATAAATAAAATCTTTAAAAAAAATAATAATAATAATTGTCTGCCTAGCTTTATACCATTGGCATTTTTAGAGGAGAGCATGATATCTCTAATACTTGGCACACAGTAGACACACAGTAAGTCTGTTGAATAAATGCATATATAGATATACTGATCATGCTATGGAACTTAGGAAGGTGAGGGAGGTGAACTGGTAGTGTTTAAACACTGAAGGTCAGAGCTACTTTAGAGCGATAAGTGAAAAGTAAGAAAAGAGCACAAATAACAGCTATTTCAAGAGGGGAAGAAAAGAAAGAGTACTCTTTTAGAGACTACTATGGAAAACAGCTCTGAAATGGAGTAGCAGCAGATATAGAAATATCTAAATGGGGAATAAACCTCACAAATGAAATCGAATACTATTGGGGCCAGCCCATCACTGCCCTAAATGAAGTTTTCTCTTACCAGTATCCCATGCGATACATGCCTAGCTCCTCTATAAAAACTAGATGTTCCCAGGCTCAGATCCCAGTGTAGATGATGGCAAAAAGGTTTCTAAAATGAAAAAAATTCTCTACTGGATCCCACCACACAATTCAGCAGACCTGTTTTCTTATCTCACTGCAGAGTACAAGCAGCAGCTTTTTAAGCTGAGAAGAAAAGACCTTTTAACAAAAGGATTCATCGATGTTTGTATTACGTGGCCACTTTGGGGACAGGTTGTGGCAAGGGTGGAATGGTTGGATGCTGCTCTGCGGATGGTGAAACCTGAGAATGAGTTCAGTCAGCTCAGTCTGTACTTAGGACCAGGAAGTGCTGGTAACAGGAATCCTGACCTGTAACAGAGCAGGAACAGCCAGAAGCCTTAAAGCCTCCATTTTGGTGCTTACCCTCCTGGTTTCCATAAGGGGCTTCTTTTTGCTGGGGCCTTGGCTGGAAATCCCCATCTTGGCCCTGGGGTGAGGGAAAAGCCCAGGAAATGTTACTGGCAGCAGCAACATCACCACATTTAAGCAAATGTGGCCCAAATGAATATTTCAGCAGGTTGGCTATTTTTATACCACTCCTGGCCTGCAGAATAAATTGTGTGGCCAAATTCTCTTTGGGTGCTGCTTTAATTCACAGCAGAATCCCAATTTGAGACATTTAGTGATCTAGGGATTGAGAAAGGAAAAATGCGGTTGACAGCAGGTAATCAGATTTTGAAATACTTGTCTGCATCAAAACCCAGAGAAAGGCAAGATGTGAGGCCTCATCCCCATGGAAAATTCAGTCAAATAGAACCGAGCAAAGTTTCACACCCTTAAGTACCTTCACATTCCACCTGGCTGGGAAAGAAATTTCCTAACTCCTCCCTGACATGTGCATTTGGAGGGTAAAGGGCTCAGCTCCCTCATGGTCCACCCTCACTGCTCCTGTGTGCCCCCATGATCCCAGGAAGGGAGCAGCTGCTCTCTGTGAACATGGGCTGAAAGCACATTGGGCTGGGGAGCAAACCACATCTTGGATTATTCTAGCTGCCCTCTCTGGGTGCAAATAAGAATGACTGTATTACCTTACTGACTCACTCTGTCCCTGACAGAGATTCGGGAGAAGAAAATAAGTACCCTCTACAATACCAACTTTGACATGTTAGGGATGTGTTCAACATTGCCCCTAATGTTGCAGCATCTCACGCAGTAATTGATACATAACCTCTTGCAGACATTTCCATTTTAGCCTACTCCATCTCTTAAGGTAGAGTTCCAAAAGTTTACTGCTTACTAGGTAAAATAGAATTATATTTTATTTTTTTCTCACGCTCTTGAGGGATTCTCTACATTCTTGTATAATATTCTGGGACTTCTTAAGTCTTATGCCTTCTTTTTTTTTTTTTAAAGATTTTATTTATTGGGGCGCCTGGGTGGCTCAGTTGGTTAAGCGACTGCCTTCGGCTCAGGTCATGATCCTGGAGTCCCGGGATCGAGTCCCACATCGGGCTCCCTGCTCGGCGGGGAGTCTGCTTCTCCCTCTCCCACTCCCCGTTTGTGTTCCCTCTCTCACTGTGTCTCTCTCTGTCAAATAAATAAATAAAATCTTTAAAAAAAAAAAAAAACCTTTAAAAAAGATTTTATTTATTTATTTGACAGAGAGAGACACAGCGAGAGAGGGAACACAAGTAGGGGGAGTGGGAGAGGGAGAAGCAGGCTTTCCGTGGAGCAGGGAGCCCGATGCGGGGCTCGATCCCAGGACCCTGGGATCATGACCTGAGCCGCAGGCAGACGCTTAACCGACTGAGCCACCCAGGCGCCCCAGTCTTATGCCTTCTGGTAGTATGACCATACTAAAAGCTCACTGAATAGGACTTGGATTCAATTGTATAGATCTGATTGCATTTCCTCCCAGCCATTGTCTGAGGAACAGAAGAATCCTACTTTGCTGAGGAAGGAATTGTGTTCAAATTGCATTGCAAATATCAACTTGCCTCCTTCCCTTAGTCCACCCATGGAAATAGGCAAGTACCAAAGAACCCAAGACAAAAAGTGACTCACTGAAGGACAAGATGCCTGGCAGCAGTAGCTGGCAAAGCCTAACCAGGATACAGGATTTAGACTCTCTCTCAACACCACTGACCTGTCCAGCGCTGGCCTGTTGGGGGAGCTGGGCACTTCCGCTCGTTTTCGTTTCCTCATCATGGCTCCTGCTGTTTTCCTCTCTGCTAGGACCTTGAGAGAGGAACCCGACTCCTGTGACTCCTTTTCCAGAGCTGTTCACAGTTCATCAGGGCACAGTGAAGAGAATTCCCCATCTTTAAACTGCCAAAAGTGACTTTTAACACCAGCTTTTCAAGTAAGGACAGACATTCTATTAGAGACCGTCTCAGAAATCTAGCCACGAGGAAAAAGATGGTCTCATGTATACAATTCTGACTGCATCTGAGCAGCAACCAAGGGGCAGAGGAAGAGATAAGAGCAGAACTTTTGGACAACACAAGGCAATAAAGGCAATTGTCATCTTGTACAGAAAAGACAAACTTACCAATCCAAGAGGACTGTCGTTTATTGACTCCCCTACAATAGGAAATTTGAATGTCATAATGGATCAAGATGCTGTTCACTTGGATTTCTATCTATCATTTATTTCTCAGAACTGGTCCTAGACAAAAACCTGTGTGTCTGCCCTTCTCCTTTCTGCCTGGTACCACTTTTGCTAGAAATACAGTGTCTTCGGGGCACCTGGGTGGCTCAGTCGTTAAGCGTCTGCCTTCGGCTCGGGTCATGAACCCAGGGTCCTGGGATCGAGCCCTGCATCGGGCTCCCTGCTCGGCGGGGAGCCTGCTTCTCCCTCTCCCACTCCCCCTGCTGTGTTCCCTCTCTCGCTGTGTCTCTGTCAAATAAATAAATAAAATCTTAAAAAAAAAAGAAATACAGTGTCTTCAAATTCTCCTCCTCCTGTTTTAGAACTCTTGTCATCTACAAGCTCAAAAGTATTACATTCATACTGTATTCTAATGATAAGCCACTTAAAAGGGAATGACCCTTACTAAAAGAAACAAGGCGGAACTTCAGACATCAGTGATAAATGAATTGGGTAGATATTTTGAGGCAAGGTCTTTACACTCTTTTCCAAATCAAACTGGCAGGTATCTATTTGTCCCTCTATGAGTAAAAATAGTAATGGCCTTCAGAGATTAAAAACTGGGAGATGTCGGGGCGCCTGGGTGGCTCAGTTGTTAAGCGTCTGCCTTTGGCTCAGGTCATGATCCTAGGGTACCGGGATCGAGCCCCGCATCGAGCCCCATATTGAGCTCCCTGTTCGGCGTGAAGCCTGCTTCTCCCTCTCCCACTCCCCCTGCTTGTGTTCCCTCTCTCGCTGTGCCTCTCTCTGTCAAATAAATAAATAAAGTCTTAAAAAAAAAAAAAACTGGGAGATGCCTTTAAGATACCCCTAAGGTGAAAGTCACTGCATACTCTAAAATGGAAGGAAGTATTTTTATATAATAGATCGCTTTCACTGAGTGATTACTGTCAGTCAGACTTTGTACTCCTTTCCATCTACCAGTATTTATATATATGTAATCCTTTTAACAACCCAACGAGATAGGTGCTATTATTATTCTTCACCATTTCACAAAGGAGGCACAGAAAGATAACTAATTCATCTAAGGTCATACAACTATTAAGTGGCTAATCCACCAGGATTTGAACCAGGCAGTCTGGCTTGGAGCACTTTGTTCCTAACCTCTGCACTGTGCAGTGTTGGGGCCCAGTCTGGCTGACCATTTTGCCACATTGAGCTTGCACTGCTAACCATGGACATTCAACCTTCCCTATTTCTTCTCTACCACTCACTTCCATCATTCTACTTACCAGGTGACAGGTTTTCATGAAACCATTTCATCTCCACATATAGAGTGAAAACAAATGGATAAGGGACCAAGACAATTTCCCCATGTTTGAATTTCAGGTGGGACACTCTCTCCCATTTGCTTTTGTCTGGGAAATGGTGTTAAGGAGTGAGGAAAGAAGTCAGTCAGTATGAGTCCTTGAGTACTATTTTAGGGATAAGACCCTCTCCTTTCCCTGGTTTGCCCGGTGGGTTTGCTGCTTCCATTTGAATCTACAATGCGACCTGCAGCTCATTTCTATCCAGAAATGAAAGGATACAGGGAAATATAATGAAGTGGTCTGTAGCAAATGGCTGCAGATTGTCCAAGTTTCCCAAGACTACACGAATAGAATCCTGAGGAAAAAAAAAAGTTGAAATGACTTTAATACCGTCTGATCCCAGCCAATCTTTCCATTTATACCTGTCACTGTTTTTTCCATACTCTATATTCTATTAAAGCTGAACTATTTGCTGTTCCCTGAACATGCCTTCTGCTTCTCCATTTCTGTGTTCTTGCATAGTCTGTTCCCTCTGCCTGAAATGCCCTTTCTACCCATCAGCCTATGTCCAAATCCCACCTATCCTTTAAGGTCCAGTTCAAAAGCTATCTCCTCCAGAAACTTTTCCCTGATTTCCCAAGTTGTAAATTAACTATTAGTCTCAAACTTCACAGTAGTTAGCCTTGGGTCTTTACTACATTCCAACCACGTTTTATTTTTCTTACTGAGAAATCTCCTTGAGCTAGAATATATACCTGATTTATTTTAGCATCCCTTCTATGGTGTCTACCTCAGTAAATGTATACTGACTGACTGAATGAATAATACTGGTATTTACTGATATGTAGTTATTTTACGTTAGCTTAAGTTCAACCTTTTCTTCTACTCTTTTAAAATCTTAATTGATTAGTCTCTAATTAACCTATGCTTATTAGTATACACCAATTAAACAATTTGGTATCATAAAAAGACTACTGGATTTCTATGGGGGAAACATCTTAACTTCAGTCTTAGCTTTGTCATTTCATCTCTCTAAGCCTCGATTTCCTCGTATTAGGGCTCACAGTAGGTAGAAATGGTGCCTTATTTATCTTTGTATTCTCTGTACTACCATAGTATCTGGCTTACAATTTTAAAGTTTATTTATAATCTCTACGCCCAACACGGGACTTGAATTCATGATCCCGAGATCAAGAGTCGTACGCTCCACCAACTGAGCCAGCCAGGAGCCTCTGGCTTATAATTTTAATAGCTAATATTTATTGAATAATCATGATGTCAAGTGTTATTATTTTTATACATATTAACAGTCATAGAGACCTTATGAGATAGGCACTTCTATTATCCCCATTTTATAGACAAGGAAACTGAGACAAAGAGAGGTGAAATAACTTATTCCGGTTTACACAGATAGTAATGGTGGAGCCAAGATATGAACCCAGGCAGTGGGGTTCCAGAGTTTACCCTCCTAACCATTAGGCTCACTGCCTATCAATAAACATTTTCTGAATAAATAAAAGAGGATGGTAACATCTGACTCAAAACTGAGAGTAAGAACATATAAAAAGCACTTTGAAAAATTTGGTAGGATTATAAATGTAGATAGATGCTTTCTAGCTATGATGTGGCAAGCATTGCACACATCTATTTCTAATCTTCACCACAATCTTGCAAACAGGTATTATTTATCAACTTCATTGACAGGTAGGAAAACAGGCTCAGAGAAAATAGGTAACTTCCCCCAAACCCCAGTGTGAAGGCAGAACTTAACTCCTATCCAGATGTGACTGGCTCTAAGGTCTATGCTCTCTCCACTTTACTATGCTGCCTTGAGCTGTTCTCTGCCAGAATTAACTGAAGCAAAGTGAAATAAACTTTGCTCTACTCACAGTTAAAATAAGCAGAAAACTGTCATGGTCCTATATTAAAATAATTGTTATTTATAATGATATCTATGAGCTCCTGCAAGATCCTAACGTATCTTTCAACACTTAGCCAAAGAGCTATAGATAGATACCTTTATGGCTATGACTTAAATTTTTGGTTGAAAGAGTTTTGTTTGTATATTTCATTGTATTCAAATTCTTTGAAATCTGGCAGCAGATGTCTTCATAAATTAGAATAGCCATAAATCACTGAGTTGTGAAGTTAGAAGAGAAATAACCTAGTTTAGCACTCTCATTTTATGTATGAGGCAATTAAGACCAAGAGAATGATCTACTGGGGGGCTGCGCAGCTAATCAGTAGCTCAGCCAGGGCTGGAATCCAGGGCCAGCACCCAGAGCTCTAACTCCTTGGACAATGCTTTCACCAATTTACAAAACTTTTCACTTGCTCAATCTTCTTCCTGTGGGAGAACCTAATGCTGGGTAGAAAAGGAATGAAAATGAAGTAGGAATAAAGCAAATTGCAAATGTTTCCAATTAAAGTGAAGACACAGCAGTCTTGTCTGTGTATTTACAGTTGAGTTTCCTGAACGTCAAGTACCAGGCAGTGGTTGGGAGGGTGAGGTTTCCCAGAGCCCTGGAAGGCGGCAGTCCTCCAGAAGCTTTCTCTATGCTGGCTGCCACAAAAGAGAGCTGCAGAGGGCTGGGAACTCTGGTGGAAACAATAGAACTCAGCCTCAAAGGTGCTGACACTTCAACTAGGAGAACTGAAAAAGGATACAGGTTTTAATTTCCCTGGAAAAACAGTGAAGTTTCTTTGCAGAGGAAATATGGCAGGGAGAAGCCAAGTGATCAAGTGGAGGCTATGACTCAGTTCACAGGAAATAATTAAGATCTGGATATGGACACATCCTTGTCTTAAAGAAAAACTTTCCCAGAAGTTGTCTGCTTCTTTCCCTACCTCCAGCTCCTGGACGATGACTTCCTTATTCTCTATCTCTTCCCCTCTAGAAGGTAAACAGATAAGACATAAGTACACCAAGAAGGAAAACTCTGAAGACACTAGACTCTATGGTCAGTAGAGAGAAGACAGTAGAGCAAAAATGACACTTCCAATGAGCTACAGAAACATAACTAAGTAACAGTTGTGTGTGTTGACCCAGGGCTCATGGGAAAAAGTGATCACTTAGGTGGTGTGATCTGAGAATCGGTAGAAGGCTGTATTAAAATATCTTCTCCATTAACCTGCCAAGACCTGACATTTCCACTGTGAAAGTTAATTATTTGTTAGACGAGGTGTACTCAAGGGTAGTCTGTGGACCACCAGGTGTCCTCAAGACCCTTTCAAGGGATCTCGAAGGGCAAAACTATTTTTATAGTAATAATAAGATGTTATTTGCCCTTTTTTGCTGTGTTAATATTTTAATCATTAGTGCAAAAGCAGTGGAGGGCAAAATTGCTAGTGCCTTTGCACAAATCTAGCCAGTTGCACTAAACTGTAAGTTTAAATTGTGGTCATTTTAACTGCCACACAGGAAAAAAAAATCCAGCTTCATTTAATATATTTGAGGAAGAAGGAAAAAATCAATAATTTTATAAAATCTCAACCCTTAAATACACATCTTTTTAATACATTATGTGATAAAATGGAAAGTACTCATACAGCACTTTTGGTGCACACCGAAATATGACGGTTGTCTTGAGGAAAAGCACTTGTGCAATTGTTTAAATTGCAAACTGAACTAGCTGGTCTTTTCATGGGATGTTGTTTTACTTCAGTGATCAGTTAACAGACAAACTATAGTTGTTTTCAGATTTAGGAATGTGACATTTTCTCAAAAATGAGCTTATCAATTCAAGGAAAGCAACAGACAGTTTGTGTCAAATGATAAATTTTGGGATTTCAAGCAAAAATTTGAACTTTGGAAAACTTCTATCCACCACACTGAGGTTGACAACTTTCAAATATTTAAATACTTTTCTAAGATTGATAGGGATATTAGCAAATATGATTTTATGATATTGTATAATGAAATGAGTCGACATTTGGATGATCTATATAAGTCAGTGAACCAATATTTTCCAAATGACCAATGAAACGCATCATGTTACAAAATCATTCTAGGTAAAAGATTCACTTACAGAACAAGACAGACCAATAGCTTTTAATGTAGCAGAGTTCAGAAAGTTCACTGATACAATTCAGATTCCATACTGCAACTAACCTTTAAAAAACTACCATATTAACGGAGAGCCTGGGTGGCTCAGTTGGCTTAGCAACCAACTCTTGATTTCAGCTCAGGTCATGATCAGTCTCGGGTCATGATTGATCTCAGGTCTTGGGATCGATCTCTGTGTAGGCCTCTGGGCTCTCTGCTCTGTGTTCAGTGCAGAGTCGGCTTGAGATTCTCTCTCTCCCTCTCCCTCTGCTTCCCAAACCTGCCTACCCACTCTCTCTCTATCTAGACAAATAAAGTCTTTAAAAAAAAAAAAAAAAAAGAACAGAACAAAAAAAACTACCACATTAGGGAAGCCTGGGTGGCTCACGCAGTTAAGTGTCCAACTCTTGGTTTCGGCTCAGGTCATGATCTCATGGGACGTGAGATAGAGCCCCGAGCCTGGCTCTGTGCTGTGTCTGCTTGGGATTCTTTGCCTCTCTCTCTCCTTCTGCCCCTCCCCCTGCTCATGCACGGGCACACATTCTCTCTCTCTCAAATAAATAAAATCTTTAAAAAGAAAAAGACACTCCCTCTGCCTCTCCACCTGCTCTCAAATAAATAAACAAATCTTTTTAAAAAACTACATTAAAACAAAACAAAACAACTACCACTTGTTAATTTTTAATGCAGGGTCAAAGAAGAATATCCACAATGATCTGTGAAGGCTATTATCAAATTCCTACCCTTCCCAACTACGAATCTATGTGGGGCTGGATTTTTTTCATATAACTCAACCAAAAAAAAAAAAAATTCACAACAGATTGAATGCAGAAGCAGATATAATCTAGCAGGCTTCTATTAAACCAGACACTAATGAGATTTGCAAAAATTTAAAACAATGCCAATCTTCTCGTTTATGTTTTATCTTGGAAAATATGGTTATTTTTAATAAAAATGTGTTAACATTTAATGGATATATTATTATTTTAAATTAATACACTTTAAAATTGTGGTAAAATATATACAACCTAAAATTTGCCATTTTAAACATTTTTTTTTAAAGGTTTTATTTATTTGACAGAGAGAAAGACAGCCAGAGAGGGAACACAAGCAGGGGGAGTGGGAGAGGGAGAAGCAGGCTTCCCGCGGAGCAAGGAGCCCGATGTGGGGCTCGATCCCAGGACGGTGGGATCATGACCTGAGCCGAAGGCAGACGCTTAACAACTGAGCCACCCAGGCGCCCCACCATTTTAAACATTTTTAAGTATACAATTCAGTGGTATTAATTACACTCATAACCATGATGTGCAACCATCACCACTATTTCCAAAGTTTATCTTCCCAAACAGAAAAAGTGTACTCATTAAGCAATAATTCCCCATTCTGCCCTCCACCCACCCTGGCGACCCCTAGTCTACTTACTTATTTTTTTTTTAAGATTTTATTTATTTGACAGAGAGAGACACAGCAAGAGAGGGAACAGAAGCAGGGAGAGTGGGAGAAGGAGAAGCAGGCTTCACGCCGAGCAGGGAGCCCAATGTGGGGCTCGATCCCAGGACCCTGGGACCATGACCTGAGCCGAAGGCAGATGCTTAACGACTGAGCCACCCAGGCGCCCCCCAGTCTACTCTGTATCTCTATAAATTTTCCTATTTAATATTTCATGGAAGTGGAATCATACAATATTTTTCCTTTTGTTAGTGGATTATTTCACTTAGCATAATGTTTTCAAGGTTTATCCATGTTGTACCTGTATCAGAACTTCATTTCTTTTACAATTTCTTTTTATGGCTGAATAATATTCCATTGTATATATGTATATACCACACATATAACTGCATTTTGTTTATCCATTCACTAATTTGATGGACACTTGGGTTGTTTCCGTCTTCTGGCTATTGTGAATAATACAGCTATGAACAGTGTTGTACAACTACCTGCTTGAATCCCTGTTTTCAATTCTTTGGGGCATATACCTACAAATGAAATTGCTGGGTCATATCGTAATTCTATGTTTAACTTTTTGAGGAACTGCCAAATTGTTTTCCACGGCAGGTGCACTACTTTATATTCCCATAAGCACTATACAAGGTTTCCAATTTCTCTACATCCTTGCTAACTGTTAATTTTCTGGGTGGTCTTTTTTGTTGTTTTTTGTTTTCTTATATAGCTATCCGGGTAGGTGTAAAGTGGTATCTCATTGTGGTTTGGATTTGCATTTCCCTAGTGACTAATGATATTGAACATCTTTTCATGTGCTTATTGGCCATTCATATATCTCCTTTGAAGAATGTCTATTCAAGTCTTTTGTCCATTTTAAAACTGGTTTATTATTTTGCTGTTGAATTGTACTTCTTTCTATATTCTAGACATTAAACTCTTACCAGATATATGATTTACAAATATTTTTCTCCCATCTGTGGGTTGCCCTTTAACTCTGTTGATAGTGTCCTTTGATGCACAATTTAAAAAAAATTTAGTTGGGGCACCTGGATGGCTCAGTTGGTTAAGCGTCTGCCTTCGGCTCAGGTCATGAGCCCAGAGTCCTGGGATCGAGTCCTGGATTGGGCTCCCTGCTCAGCAGGGAGTCTGC